AACTTTTAAGAAAAAATTAAATTTTCTTATCCATTTTTTAAATGAAAACTAATCGCATAAAATAATGGGTGTTCAACCTGGTGTTGATGAATTTTGGTTCGAAAACGAGTTTTAAACGCTTTTGTAATTGACGGATTGGTTAGGTCTGTTTAAAAAACTCGCCTCACTTGCCTTTACTACCATCTTGATGCCATTTAAGATTTCCTTGAAGTTAGATTTTTCTTTTTCTTTTTGTATTCTTACGATTGTTGTTATTATTATTAGTAGTAGTGTCATTTAAAATTTAAGTGTTTCTGACAATTGAACCAAAATTCACGGGTGTTCATGCTAATTCGACCGGATCAGAAAGACTTGAACCTGGTTGGTGATCACGAAATTTGGGTCAAGAGCGAGTTTTGGTCGCTTTTGTAATTTATGGGTTGGTTCAGGTGTGAATTTTGTTAAATAGTCGATCTGATTTCCATCCAACCCGCTGCTAAATTGTAAAACAATCAATCTTATTAAAGTGGGTTTAATACTTTAATTCGATGTTTATGCGTTTTGGTTCTTAGAGTTAAATTAACCCAACTAAACTCGGTGTTGTCGAATTTTCGGTCGAGAGTGTCGGGGTGATTACCAGGTGACCATTTCGTTACTAAATAAAAATTTGAGGGTATTTTTAAATATTTTGTTTGCTTTTGTTTCTTCAACTCTTCCCAGTCACACAAACTTCCTCTTTCCTCTCCTATCTTATACCTTCATTTCTGTCTTCCACTCTTCCTCTTTCCCCATTTGTGCGGATCTACTTTCTCTCTCCACAAACAAGGAAGAAGGAGTTAGAAGGCGAAGAAGAAGTGGATTTATTCTATGATTCTCCGGATGGCGGACGAGCGGATAGAGGCGATCAACTCTTGAAGCATAAGCGAGGACACAAATGCCCAACGGAGTCGCAAATTGATTTCCCCTACTCCAATTATCGCGATCATCAAATCCTTCCTACTTCTCCTACATCCGGACCAGATCGAGCTGACCACCAGTGATCTCAAATTCACTGTAAACCTAATGTCCTTCTGATCAACAACAAATAACCGAAAACCCGTTGCTCGCCCTTGGACTACTTGGTCACAACGAACACCAGTACTTACTCTTTCAGTCTCTCATGTCGTTCCTTATTCTTTTTGTGATTGTTTTGTCATGGCCAGGTCTCTGTCCAGTTCCATGTTGCATGCCTTCCTTTAATTCGTTGTAGGTGAACCCTGCTGCATAATGGACAACAGAAGAAATAATGGAATGCCTCAGCAAATTTTAATGTAATCTGCATCTCATAGCTCTTCAAGATGAAGCTCTTAATGTAGTCTTTATAGTCGGTGCCTTTTTCTAGGATCTCAATTCACTTGTTTATGTTTCCTTAATGTTTTGTCGTTTTATTTGTTGATTGGTTCTCTCTTTAAAATGCTGCATTTTACAGCTTGGGAACAAGCTAGGAAGAGGACACGAGCGTCCAGGGATAGCACACTTATGCCAAACCAGCTTTATGGGATGCAATGAAAAAGTTTTACGATATCATTGCACGTGGGGTATTTGACATTTTCCAGACATGTACTATTTCCTGTATAACTATGATAATAATAAGGGTATTTATGCATATAGAATTGTACTGAGATTTGTACATAACAAAAGGTTTCAGCTTTATGATGTCTCATGGCATGTATTAGAAGTTTGCCCATTCATTTTATATTATTGATAAATGAAGCTCCAAAGTTGTAAGTTTTCGCATAAACTATAGTTGAAGTAACAATGAAAAAGGATAGGCAGAACACTATTATGCAACAAGGGTTGTTTGTTTCATTAGTTTACATATTCCTTTTCTTTTATGGCCTACTGTTATATAATGCGACACATATCACAAATGATCGCCCATCGCGGAGCGCGGGCTTTCCTTATATTAGAGTATGTGTAGTACGAGTAGTATTGTGTTATACTACGAGTACTAGTATGTAATTGGGTAGAATTATATTCCTTATTAGAGTAGTAGAAGTTAGGTTATTTCCGTATTAGTGTTAGGGTTTATATAGAGTACAGAGACTGACTTCTATAATAACCCTAACACTAATACGGAAATAACCTAACTTCTACGACTCTAATAAAGAATATAATTCTACCCAATTACATAGTATTGTGTTATAATACGAGTACTAGTATATAATTGGGTAGAATTATATTTCTTATCCGAGCTTGTTTGTAGTACAGTTTATTTATCAATAATCAGATAAGATAATAGTATATATATCTTCTGTGTCGTGCAATGGTTGCTGCCAAATTTAGCTTTTCTCTCATGGCGAATCAGAGGAAATCAGCCCCCAAATGTTCTCATGCATGTGGAGTCGTTGGTAAGTTCTGATAGCAATAGTCACGTCCTAATTATTTGAGTTATTAAGAGAGCTTTAATTATCATATTATATCATTTTCTAGCTTATTCCCTATAATTTCTTTCATTTTTTTAACCGCTTCTAAATTCTAATGAAATTAGGAGTATTATCTAAAAGAAAGTACATTATATTAGAAATTTGCTCACTTGTAACATGTGAGAAACTCAATGATCGGCATTCATTACATATCGAATTCAAATTTTGCATTCAATATCATTACTCGATCAATACGCAACCGGACGGAAACAAAAACCCTTCGTCGTCATTAATGTCTACAGAGAATGAAAAATTATTTAGAATCGTTTAAGGCAGTTTTCGAGTTACCATAACATTCACTGAGTATCAATCTCACTATTACGCTAACACGACCGCACAAGGTGGGAGTTCAGCAGCGTGATGGTGACATTGTTGAATTGTTTTGCAGGTCCTCAGCAATCGGATTAACAATGATCATGTAGTCTCCTCTTGGTTGCTGTTGTCTGCCTGAAGAGCTCTGGCAAGTTGCCAAGTTGTTGTCTATTTGCAAAGCTAGCTGGATCCTCGTGAATGCATGATTCCAAAACTGAACGTGTAAGCTAGCTAGCTAGTCAAAACTACGGTAGATGATGGAAACAAAAGAGAGCAATCACGAGATAAAAGAACAGATCCAAGATTTATTTGGACAAACACTGAAACACGTATTCTAGTAACATGTTTTCTAGTTTATAGTAGCAGGGATTTTGGCACTACGTGATGTCACTTCTCGATTAAAAGATTTGTCTGAAGTTTTTTAACGGTATAGTCTTTAAAATGGGAATGTTATATCATCGTATCATACGTCTCCTCTAATAAAAGTGTATCAAATTAGGTTTACAATTTTTATGGATTTTCATTATAACTTATGCTTAAACTAGCCATTGATTTTGAGATTCGGCATTATATATAAGAAGATTGATACAAGAATTATCAATATATGAGTAGAGTGTCAAGAAACGCTTTTACCTTTTTATCTCAAGTCATTAGAAAGAATCAATAATACATGACTTAATACATTGCATGATGTGTTTAAACACGACAACTTATGTATCTCGATTGAAATTTCATACCATAGTAGCTAGATTTGAGCAAGATCTACCATTTACTTGTGGAAGTAGGTATATTAGTTTGATAGAGAGTCGTCCAATATTCGACTTGCTGCTTTTAGCACCTATCTTATTCCAAACTAAATTTTCAGAGACAATCTAAAAGAACCCCATTAACCAAATGAGGAAAACTAACATATTTAGGCAAGCTCATAATCAATCTTTTTATACCAATTAAACCATTTATCGACAAATCAAGTAATTACCCCTTCATTGTGTGAAATTGCTAAACCCCAATTAGTTTACTGCTAGCTAATCGTGTACAATTACCCGCTAATTAATTACTGGTATCTGGCCGCTGTGACTATAGCCATTTCTTTATTCATACGACGGTTAACTCGTTAAGCAACCTCCCAAACCAATGAGACCAATTAAGGGGCCCATGAATTGTAAAGGTTCGGTGACCCACGCCCAGCTCCCTGACCAACCGGTGGCCGTAACTTAAACGTAACCTACGAATTGTGGTGAAAGGGATATATGATATGAATCCTAAATGTATGTACGTATATATATGCTGTGTATATTAGAAAGCAAGTCAATTACTGTTGTACTCGATCAGCCTCACTTGGCAGGAAAACAATGAAGGCAAATTTAATGGGCAATGGGTAACCGCGGCTGACATTTATTGTCATCGTGTAATGTAATTTTGGTTGGGTGGCTACTTTGTCCGTTGTGATGTTTGTAAAATTATGTCCGCATTAGTTGGATTGTGTATCGTTAAGATAAATTTGATATAATTTTATAGTGATATTGTTACCTTTCATATATTGGAATATCGCCTATATAGCTATAAGAATGTGAAATTTGGATAGTAAATTTTATTGTTCTTCCTTTTAGCTACAAACAATGATCATAACCAAACAATGGATTCGAATAAAAGATTAAAGGATTCGAACAATTAAAAAATAAGTTTGATGGGTTGAATTTGCGGTACATCTAATAATGCAAGATGTATATTTGGTGTTTTAGGAAATACAATAAACTTTTAAAATTGGAGGAGAAATCACTTCTTATTGAATTATGTTGGCCGGCAAAAAATATCTTATGTACTAACATTAGATTGTGTTTTGCTCACCTTATAATTGATTGGTTTGTTGATCTAATGGCGCACAATTCTCTTTATATTAACTCATTTCGTTTATCTTTATTTTAATTTTCGAGTTTGATTCAATATTTGTACTGATTTTACGGGATAGAATATTACAATCGTAGTAAAAATTAGCGATCATTGTTGTCCTAGATTATACTATATGATGAAGAATTGAAAAACACAAATTATTTATGGGAAAACTCTATTAATATACGTAACCAGAAGTCCAGAACCAATCTCGCTATACATCAACACATTTAATTACTCACGACATTTCAATCTCCCTCACATAAAACTATATATATATTCTCCCCTCTCTATGTATTTAATCACGTTTATTTTAAACAATAAAAAAAGAAAGAAGAATCGCCAAGCGGTCAATCAGTGGAGTTTGACCCAAACCCCTGTACTGGGAATCTCCCGATGAACCACAAACACCATATAATACCCCGCCGGCGCCAAATTCCGCGAACCCGGCGAGCTCACCGTCACCTCGTAGCTCCCCGCCGCCACGCCCCTCAACTTCTCGCTCCCGAGCACCAGCAGCCTCTGGTTCATCGCAAACGAGTGCGTCGTGAACGGCGGCGCCACCATCGTCACCGCCACGTCATCCGCCTTCACTTCCCCCGCCCCGGTCGCCACCGTGAACCGAATCGCGAACTTCTGCCCGTACGCCACCCCGCTCCCGGACGCCGGCGACACTACCGCCGGCCTCACCCCGTCGAAGCTCCCGTCCAGGTACGCCGGCGAGAAAGCCTCCAGGCTGAGATCCGTCGGGAACATGACCCCGGTGAAATTGTAGTACACGTGCGGGTTGCTCCCGCCGACGAGCACCCTCCCGTCGCGGAGCAGCACCGCGGCGGAGTGGTACATCCTCGGCACGGCGGTCGGGTTCTGGACCTCGAACCTCGACCCGACCGGGTTCCCGGGTCGGTAAATTACCGGGTTCAAAACCGGGTCGCGCCCGTACTCCCACCCGGCCGTGCCCGACCCGGCCCCGTTCACAATCAGAACATTCCCATCGGGAAGCATCACCATATCCCCCATCACTCTCTCCCTCGGCATCGTCTCCATCACCCAAACCGGGTTCGGGTCGTTCACCCGGATCCGACCGCAAGTACCCAACCCCTTCACGAAATTCCCGACCTTCGCCTTCTCATACGACCCTCTGGGCGCGCCGCCGCAGACCAACACCTCCGCGGCCACGTCACCACCGGGCTGCAGGGCAAGCTTCAGTGGGAGCAATGCAGCGGATCCCGTGCTCGGGTAGCTCCTGGAATCCCCACCGGGAATCGCGGGGTAACTTTTCACCACGGCCCGGCTGCTGTAATTGTAGAGAATGGCGCGGTTGTTGGCGAAGATGAATAAATTACCGTCCACGTTTAGGAACACAAAGGGGTAAAGATTGTTCTCGGTGTCCGGGTCGTTGGTCTGGACGAGAAACGGGAGGCTGTAGACCCCCGGGGCGGCGTCGTTTTTCGGGTAGAACTCGTAGTTGAATTGGCGACGCCCCCCGACGATTATCTGCCTGCCATCTGGCAGGAGGTGATTGGTGGAGTACCATCTCCTCGCTGCCAGCCCGTTCTCGTACTCCACCCAGTCGCACCCGCTGCACGCGCTGGCGTTGGTGGTGGTGCAGGCGGCGGGGGCGCAGGGGGAGAAGGAGCGGACGCGGCGCTCGCCGTCGTTGAAGCCGCCGGTCTGGAGGAGGCGGCCGTCGGGCATGGCGGAGCCGGAGGAGCACCAGACGTCGGTTTGGACGGTGAGGGGGCGGAAGGTGTTGGTGGCGGAGTCGTACTCGACGGAGTGGGCGGAGCAGTCGCGCGTGACGACGCGCTCGTTGGGGTCCTCGCGGCAGTTGCCGGCGGCGAGGGAGATGTTGGAGCGGCCGAAGTCGGTGCGGTCGAAGATGACGACGCGGTCGTTTGAGAGGAGCTGCATGTGCATTGCCGAGATGCCGATGCTGCTCTGGAGGAGCTGCCAGCTGCCGCGGCCGCCGGGGGCATCTGCTGCAATGACGGCGGCGGCAGCTGAAGCTAGGAAGAGGAGGAGGGAGAGGGAGAGGTTGTAAGGATGATGGAGAGACATGGAATGAATGTTATGGTTGTAATGTGTTGTTGTTGTTATTAGAATAAGAAAATTATTATATGGTTTTATTTATATATGCAAGTTATGATGAGGAGGAAGGATTGTTGTTGTTATTGGTTTGCTTGTTAAATAGGGGGTGTCCAGAGCAGGTAGGAGGAGCTGTGCAGGGAATTTATTCCGTTATTGCAATTGGGGGTGTATTATAAAAAGAGTATAAAACTTGTTCACGTGAATTTGGAAACGTGAGGGGATTTTAATGGTTTGTGGAAGTGGTAATGGAAATGGACCAAATGGTGTGGTGGAATGAAATTACTTTTTTTTTTAAAGAGAGGTTTAATGCAGGAAGGGGAATAGGGTGAGCGACACAAATTCCTCAATATCCATTCGTATTGAGTGTGGTTGTGTTGGGTAACGTTTTTGTGGTTTTCATTTGGGATAACAAATAAGAAATTGTTGGTTAGCTTGTTACGAGTGAACCTAGATCTTGGAGAAGGCGGAACTAGACCTGACAATCGGGTTGGATTGGGTAATTTTGGGTTGGTGACTTTGGTTACGGATCAGATAATGTTTGGTTGGCTAATTGCAGGTCAAATATTGACCCAATTCATTCGGTTTTGGGTCGGGTCAAATCATTTCGGGTTACAATAATTTTTAGTTTTCAGGCGGTTTCGGATCGAGTTATAATTTGCCAGGTCTAGGCGAAACTAATAGCTCTTATCATGCTACTTTTCAATGTTGAAACATATGAGCACACATATAATGATAAACTTAGACCAGATATTGGGTGGAGTTGACCTCTTCTGGACTATATGTATCTTCGTATTAGGTAAAAATTAGTGTATTAGGTCAAAATCGGCTTTTACCTCATGGAATGCAATAGCCAATTTGAAAATAAATGTTTTCCTTTCGCCATTAATTAACACGTCCTTATACTTTCTAAACTCTTCATATTTTCACCGGCCAAGCCAATATACCAAGCCGTATATTATCAAAGGACATTCTTGACTTTTGGAAACCATGTAGCCCAGAATCGCAAACAACCTTAGGTAAATGGACTGTGTATGGTACTATGTTCGACCCTTTTGGGTTTCACGGAGAGTAATGTGGGTTTGATGACACTAGCAAGCTAGATGATGAGTCAGTCCACCAACCATAATTTATTACCCTTCTTTTATTTTACCTTAGGGGAATTCAATGCAAGTGAAACGTATAGGAAGTACTAAAGAAAAACAAGAAAAAACCGCAACGTACGCGTGTCGCCAATGAACATGCTGGGCAAGGCAGCAGCAACTCCAGCCAACTTGTCGCCGGTAAAAAAAATTAAAACCTCTTCGCAAAAATGAAGTAATAGCTATATATATACCGCCACAGCTGCCAACTAGTTGCGTCGTAGTAATGAAGATGGCGGAAGATGAATGAGATCATTGAAATTATTTGGAAACTACAATTAATAAAATTCATCATTTTGTAAAAACGTCAAATGTATGTAGGTAGATGGGTATTTTCATAAAAAAAAAAACTAACTGAAGGTAAGTGGCGGAGGACTTGAGGTATATAATTTCAGCACGAATTCAAATCCTCCTTTGTGGACAAAATATCATGCGAGAAGGTATATATCGTTAATAGATATTGTATCTTGAATATCAATTTTAAGGTAAATATATTAAAGATAATATGTTAAAGATCGTATCTTGAAGCACGGAAATTTTTTACCCAAAATTCTTTCAAATCTTACTTTAATTATACGGTGGTTGACTGTTTTAAATTATAAAAATTGCATTGTTATTGAAAGTATAAGCTTCAAAAGGACTTTATTGTTTCGAAACACAAAATATCATCTAAGTCGGTATCTACATTCAAGATTATCTATCAAGAAATCGTATCTTGGTCCTTAGATTTTTCATTCGGATTCAAATAACTCGGTTAAAAAAAAAGGTGTATATTTCATGTCGTTGTGCTATTTACAATATAGATTATTATTCGTAATTCTCAAATTGCTTGTATAGATTTACTATTATACTTAATATATATTCCAATCATAAAACTGTATACATGTTCAAACTTTTTTTGGGTGGGTATTAGTGAGGGTTACAAGGAATAGTGTCTAAACTTGTGGCAACCAAAAGTCTGCAAATGCAAATATGGCAAGACCGTGAGCGGTTGCCTGTCGGGGCGAGATGGGTAAAGGAACCAGGAGAGTGGGGACCACGCGCCTTTCCCTGAGACGGAAAAAAGTTCCCAAGTTTGTTAGTCGCGTTGCCGTTTCGGCAGTGGTGGGCCTAAGTGGGACGGGCCTTTTGTGGGCCATGGCCCTCTTATTTTGTTTCTGCTTCCTCTCTCTTTCTTCTTTCTAACTTTTTGGCAACACGTGCAAGAAAGCTATTGGGTGACGGGCGGGGATCGAAACGAACCAAAGGACTTCATTAACTCGGACGTTGCGAAGGCATCCTATATTATTCTGGCTGGTATCTTTGGACTTTGCTTGCTTTCCTCACCGGCCGGCTTTCCCTTTTCTTCTTCCTTCTTCAATGTGCAGCCTAAAAGGTGAAATTAAGGATGGCTGATTTGATCTTACCAACACTCACCTGTGTGCTATATGACTATATCACATTTTTTTTAAGTTTTAATTGGGCATTGTTTGATCCGTGACACTAATGACTGGTATGTGACGAAATGCGCATTAAACCGGTTGTCATGGCCCACATACTTTGTCGTTGGTACTGGAATGAGGTTTCGGATAGATAAGCTGACCATGCCGATTTTGTTCGTGCTGAAATTACGGGTTGATCGTGTTCAAACACTAGTCACTTAATAAACACATCCACATCGGTTATCAATAACAAAGAATTTTTATTCTGGGTTAATATTTTCTTTGTTGTGAGCAAAGAAGCATTTTTGTTATTAATATTTTTCCTTTGTTAGTAAAGAAGAATTATTGTTAACACAGTCTTTTAGATAATATGATGATGTGCTCACTATAGTACCTTTGCTAGCTAGGACGAGGCATGTGAATGCATGCTGGATTATTGTTGGCTTGCTTAATTAGTGTAGCTTAAACTTGCTAATCACATGATTTAACAATCGTATTGTATTATTCTGTATAGAAAATTTGCGGGTACGTAACCTAATCATGCACATACATCTAACATATTATAGGCTGCCACCTTTTTGGTTTAAAGTTGGCCGGTCAAGCTCAATCCAGCACTCATGATTCCTAATTGGATCGGCTTTTTTTCGTGGCACCGATCATCGTTACGATCTCTAATCTGTGGAAAGTGGAAAAGACACCACCATCTTCAAGGCTTAATTCTTCTTGCTAATAATTACGACATGGTCTGTAATTAGTTCGTTGCATCTTTGTCCTCGTCAAATTAAATCATTTTTTTTTACGTTAAGCGGGCGCCACGTACTTTCCATAATATGGGCAATGATTATGGCTAGAAACGTCGGCAAACTATCTTTTTCTTCCCACTCGCCCGTGACAGAAGCTGCTTCTCGATCGGGAGGGGCACGGTTCAATTGTTCTTCCTTGGTTTTTTATATAGCTTTAGTAAGCAATCATGAAGTATGGGGAAAAGCACATGGCTGGCTAGCTACGACCGTCGACCTACGAGTGTTGTTTTTTTCCTATTCTGGGCTTGTTTTCAACAGTGGTCACCGGACGCCGGTCGACCCATATCGGGGAAGAATTGATGACCGGTCGTTACGATCGTTACAAAAGCTCCGGTCATTATAAAACTTGTCACAAATAATACAACCGAAAATTAAAGTTGTTGTCTTGTTGATCCGTCGGTCATGCTAAACTTTAGATGTTTTAACCGCGGCAATTGAACACAATACGTATGCGCAGTTTAATTTGTACATAATATATGAACGGACCAATTCATTTGTACTGTGCTTCGTGTTTTTCTAAGGTTTACCATAATTAATGTGAAATTATAAAGGAAGTGACACCTTTGTCATTATTAAAAATTTGGGGCGGGAGATATACGTGTTGGTTGTGGCGATGTGCGTTAATTTCACGTTCAACGCCTCATCATAAGTATCATGAAACATATACTCACAAAAAATAGAACAAAAACACAACGAAACACAACACAAATACCATAAAGTTTATCAAGTATTTCAGAACCTCACCACACCACAAAATTAATCAAACAAACCAGAAACTTCAAAGCAGACCACAAGTTTGTGAAGAATACTAAAAACCTCATATAGCATACCATAAGTTCCATGTGTTATAAACGCGCTGCTACGGATCGGGAAATCGCCGGAATCGACAAAGCAAGAATACGAAAGCGAGAATCGAAAAACACAGACACACGATATACGTGGTTCACTAACACGATGTGTCTTAGCTAGTCCACGGGCGAGAGAGAGCCAGTTTCACTATATCGAGGAGATTACAGATTACAGAGGAGTATGAGAAGTATTTATAGTACTTCTCCATGTGGGTCTAAACCTAATCCAATATGTCAAAGGAAAACGGTTACAGACCAGGCCCAGAACCCGAACCCAAATAACATTGAGCCCATACACCGTGGGCCGGGGGCGTTGCCCCTGGACCCCCACTCGCGAGACCCCCGATTACCAGTCGTAGCGGCTGATAGTCCGATTCAAGTCACATCAACAAATCTCCACCTTGACTTGAATCCTCTTCCTCTGAAATCTGATGTACTCTGCTCCTTCTCTCTCTCCCGCCATCGATGCCCCGTAGGGCGGAGTCACCCACTCAAGACATTCAGCAAGTCCAAGCAGTGTTGGAACTTGCCATGTGGAACCGGCTTCGTGAACATATCAGCAGGATTATCCGCGGTGCCAACCTTCTTCACCTTAATCCTCTTCTCTGTCCTCAAGAAATGATACCTCACATCGATGTGCTTAGTCCTCTCATGGTGGATTTGATCCTTGGCCAAGCATATTGCACTCAAACTGTCGCAATACACCACTGCCTGATCATGATGTAGACCCAGATCACCAACCAGTCCCTTCAACCATAT